AAATGTTATTTAATGATACTTTTAGTATATTTATTTCATTGTTTAGTCTGATGTCAATATATCATAAAATGAATGCATAATTTAATGAGTTTAAACTTTTTTTAATGAAATTATATTATAAAATAACAAGAATTTATATAAATTATGAGAAGTATTATCAATAATAATCGTAAAGAAATAACACTTAATTTTTATAATAAACACCATGTATTACAAAAATAAAGTTTCAAACTTTCTCTCGGTTTTTATCTCAAATTAAATGCACTTGATGATTTTTACGCTTTTGATTTGTCGATGATTTCTGAATATATTTATATATAAGTTATGAAGAATTGGCAAAAGTATTTGAATTCATACATTAAAAGCATACACTTGTGAGAAAACGTAAAACATATTTGACTGTAATTTGTGAACAAAAATAATATTTCGTGAATCGATATTCACTCGTATCCGTGAGGATATACACACGCATAGGAACGGCATCCCTATCCCTAACATGCCTTAACGGGGAAGTATGACATTCTCGCACCAGTCTCTGTCTGACGGCTTCAGTATCCAGTCGACCACATGGATAACGCCATTGGAGGCCGGGATGTCAGCCCTGTATAGCGGCGATACGTTGGCCTCCACCAAACGCCCTGGTCATTAATTGTTAAATTTGTGTAATTCATTAAATTCTTGACTCAATTATCACTGATTATGCGAATACTCACGCCTACAGCCATCGACACGTATACCGACTTGAATATACTGGCCCTCAATCAGCGAAGGTATGAACTGTCCGTCCCTTAAGTCATTGCTATAGTGAGCTCCATGTGCGACATGGTATTTCAGGAATTCTGTGCAATTAAAATAATTTCATGAATATGCTCATTTTTAATTTGAAAAATTTTTCCACTCAAAAGTTAAGTTCCACTAAATTCAGTGCAAAAGCACATAAATATTATGCAAACTATGTATACATTGAATGCTATGTTAAGCGTTGGCGTTACTGTATGTGTGAGAGTATGTATGCGATTCATGTGTTGAATATGTTATGTCATAATAGCTATACTATAGTAGTATTGACAGGAATGTAGGGATGCTTTTGGATCGATATTTAGCACATTAACCGCCGAATATAGAGAGCGATTCTGTGCTAAATAACAATCCCTTTGAAGTGTTGTTAAGCCTTATTGACGAATAGCCGCCAAATATTTGAAAATTGTTTTTACTTGTAATAATAAACACAAATAGAGTTTTTATATTTTTACTGTTTAATTAGCAGTTAAGACAACTTTTTTTAGCACAAACCTCAAGTGATATATCATTCTTAAAATACTCGAGTGTTTGGTCTCTCTCTCTCTCTCTCTCTCTCTCTCCTTTCGTATTTATATTTGTTATTAAGTTTAAAGATTTAATAATAGCCTCAAAAAAGAAAAGTTTTAAAAATAAATTGTCAAATATTATACACAAAACAATGGTTTAGCTATTATGGAGAAAACAAATACACATAAAAAGCTAAATTGAAGACAAAAGTCGTTGATTTTTATCACACTTTTGAGCTTCAAATTACACTTTACTTTAGGATTTTATGCTAAATATTGAACTTCACTGACAAAAAACATTATTTTTAGTTTGTTTTTCAAATATACTGGTAGTGTGTAAATAAGACAACACTTGGGACCTGGAAAGACACACAAACTGAATACATCCCAACCCCACCTTAAACCCATGTCTAACTTTAGCTTATTATACGACACTTTCATAACTTACTGGACGAGTAGCTCTCAAGTATGACTTACTAACTGTTTAGCGATTTACACACAATTATATACACACACACTCTCCAGCATAACGTGTGTACACTATATTATATAAGAGTGAAGTGCAATGAAAATAGCTTATTTTTGTGAATTAGGGCACAGGTATGGAAAAAGAGAATATCTTAATCTCTGATTACTTAGTCTTTTATACATTGTCTGGTGAATGAAAAAAGTTTTCTCACTTTAAATACAAAAGTAAATAATAATAACAATAATAGGAGTTTTATAAGAGATTTATGTGTGAACTCTAAAAAGAGAAATATATTTCTAAAGCATAAGTAATAATAATAATAATAATAATAATAATAATAATAATAATCAAGTGCTAAAAGACATATAAAATTATCTCCTCTTATATGTAAAGTCCTTTGGTTTTGTATAATAAAAGCTAAATATCTTAAAATTTTTTATTTGCATATTTCCATTGAGCACTCATTAATCAAATCAATAATTTGTATCAAAAAATGTTTCATTTAAGTGGAGATTAAACGCTTTTAAATGTAAATCCGGTATAAAAAGCGAAACAATAAAAAGTTTTTCTTATCAAACTTTTGATTTGTCTCGCGTTTTGTGGACAGTTATTATAGGGATCACTAACCTCTGAGCGCAGTCATATTGTTTCTGATTATATCCAGATCATTATCGGGCACTTTCTGTAGGGCTTCGTTACTCGGAACAAATACAGTGAACGGACCGCCTATCGGAACACAACAAATATAATGGACTTTTAAAACAAATTTTATATAAAAATAGTTTTTGATTCTCATATCCAACATATGATACTAGAATACCTTATAACTTATACGAACAAAATAATATTTGCAAATATAAAAAACAAATGATAATTAAGAATATGTGTAACAATAGTAAGAAATATAATGAAAGAGAAACTTTTATATATATTTTCTTTTTTGTAATGCAAAGTCTTATTATAGTATGTTAATAGCGAACCGGTAGTGAAT